TTTCTGAAGAAGGGTCTGGCCCGAAACGTCAGCCTTCCTGCTCCTCTGATGCTGCTTGGCCTGCTGTGTTCGTCCAGCTGTACACCTTGTTATCTCAGATTCTCCAGCATCTGCAGTTCCTACTATCTCTGCTTCAACTTTGTGATTTTTGCCAAGATCAAAGTCTACAACAGTGGCGTGTCAGGCTAAAACGGAGCAAGTGGCAGCCTGCAGCAGGTCCTTTCCTTCAAAGCCAGGAGTTATTGAGAGTTGAGAGGAGGATGCAAGGAAGCTTCAGGGTGATCTAGACAGGCTGAGTGCATGGGCAAACACATGGCAGATGCAGTATAATGCAGATAAATATGAAGTTATACATGTTGGTGAGAAAAATCAGAAAGGCAGCGTATTACTTAAATGGTCTACACTGGCAAGTGTGGAATTACAAAAGTTTCTGGGTGTCTCTGTGCATTTGTCAATGAAAGTAAACGAGCAGGTGATTAGGAAATCACATAATGGTATGTTGGCCTTCAATGCAAAGGCGATTCGAGGTCAGAAGTAGGGATGTCTTACTCCAGGTATACAGGATCCTCATAAGACCACACCAGGAGTGTTGCACATAGTTTTTTTTTCTCCGTACCCAAGGAAAGATATATTTACCATAGAGGGAGTGCAGCAAGGAGAGATTTGTTCAAATGGGCTTGTATTCACTCGAGTTTAAATGACTGAGGGGATCTGATTGACAAGTATAAAATTCTAACAGGGCTAGACAGACTAGATGTAGAAAGGTTTTTTTTTCACCTGATTCAGAGTCTAGAACCAGGGCTCACAGTTTCAGGATATTGATGTGGCCGTTTAGGACTAAGATGAGGAAACATTTCTTCACTCAGAGTAGCCAACTTGTGGAACTGTCAAAAATCAGGAAAAGGGGTTTGAGAGATCATGTCTTCCTTCTTATTTTGCTAAGGTTGATTGATATGGAGCCTGATCTGCTGCCAATATCACTCCATGACTGAGCTTCAGCAGCAATATGAAAGATACTGCAAGGTCATTCAACTCACCTCCTGGGAGTTTACTGTGGACACAGTCCACATTGCACCTGTGTATCACAGCATTTTACCATCCATTAATCCAAAACTTAACGTCCATTAGTTTAAGAGAACTATAATTGTACATAGGAGTCAGCTACAAAAAGTGACAGTTTAATATGTTCACTGTCAATGTACATCTGATTTCTAGGAGTTCAGCCCATGCAAAGGCCCAACTTTGAATTGCATGAGCAACAATGGTCTTCATGCTCACCAAAACAAACAGGCTTAAACCAGAACAAAGGCTCAGGCAAGAATCCAAATATTTCTATGAACAGTGACTGGAAGAAAAACAAAACAGAAATTGCTGGAAAATCTCAGCTGGTCTGGTAGCATCTGTTGAGAGAAATCAGAGTTAATTTTCAGGTACAGTGACTCTTATTCAGAACGAGATTTTCCAGCAATTTCTGTTCTTGTTTCTGATTTCCAGCATCGGTAGTTCTTTTAGGTATTTTATTTAGTGACTGGAAGAAGTTGCATTTAGTATTTCACTAAACATCAGACTGTTTTGATTAATATTTTTAATTTGTCCTCTAAACAGAGGCCTCACCACAACCACAACCCCACCCCCACTTCAAAACCGATGTCCTAGCAGCATTAAATTATCTGGGGATTTCAGTCACAAAACTCTTGTTCACTGGAGGTTAATCACTAATAAATACTGCCTTGTCTGAAATGGAACCATATTAAAATGAACTTGGCACAGTTGTAGTCAAACATACCAAAGTGGCATTAAGCACCAAGCAAATGCATGTTAAAACAATGAGGGTGCTGATATTATTGCATTCCTCATGAAATCAAGAACAATTTAAGTTAATCATTTCAATTGACAATATTTGAGTGTTCTCAGAAAGAAAATGGGAGAAAAGGGTACGTACAAAATGTAAATTTGTAATGAGCTCAATTCCTTTACTCAGTATGTTTACCAATTAATTTGACAATTTTCTAAACCACAAATTTTCTGTTCAAGATTTTTATGTCAGATAACTCAAGAACATCTGTACATTGTGGCAACATATATAGTCTAACAAGCCCAACAGTAGAAACAACCATTCTGCATATAGTTTGAGGAAATAAAAAACAGGTGGAAGAACCATCACTGGGATAGTATGTTGGTGGTAGCAACCATAATCCTATTTGTATCATGGAAAAAAGATAACCCAAGAGTTCAAAAATGGAAATAGAAATACTGGAAATACACATCAAGTCTGGCAGCAACTGTTAAAAGAGAAAGTAAATGTTTCAAGTCAAGGACCATTGTTCAGAATCGGGTGAAGACAAAGTGTTACAGGTTTTGAACAAATGCAAGAGAGGAAGGAAGCAAAAAACAAATGGGACAGTCTGTGATAGAATACAGGGTGGCAAATAGTATCTTCTAAAAAAAAAAAAAGCAGTACATGGTACAAAAGACAAAATAAGTGCTAATAGCTGTAATAATGGAAAGAAAGTCTCCAGAGTGGGTCTGAATGACAACTATGTCCAAAAGCAAAACATGAAAAATACAACTGAGACTGGCACATTGCAGAAACAAAGTTCACAAGCCTGAACTTGTTATGTTTGAATGTTGAGTCCAGAAGGCTGGAAAGCGCCTCAAAACCTGAAGTGCTGTTCCTCTAGTTGCTGTCAAAGCTTCACTGAAGATCAAGGATGGAAACGTGCACATGATAGCAAGGCAGATAATGAAAATACTCAAGCTTGGGATAATGCTTGTGGACTGAGCAGAGGTGTCCCAAAGGCTGTAGCCCAATCCATGTTTGGTCTTGCCGAGGTAGGACAATGTATTTGCTGCTCACAATGCATTCTAAATTGAAGTAAATAATTGTGTAAGTGAATAACGTATGTAGAAACAGACATATTAAAGAAAGAATGTGACAACATAGGAGATATGGAAACAAAGATTGCTGATAATAAGCTGAGAGGGAGAGATAAATGATGGTAAGGTGCTAACAAGAAGTGCACGTTTGAAAATGAGGGCCTAGGGGGGAAAAGCGATTGATGTTCTAAAGTTGCTAAACATAAAATGTAGAGTCCTGAGAGCTGTAAGTTACCATGGTGAAAGATGAGATACTGTTCCTCAAGCTTGCAATGAACTTCCCTGCAGCACTGTAACATGCCCGAAACAGAAATGTTGGCATGGAACATGGTGATGTATTGAAGTGGCAGGCAACTAGAAATTTGGGGTCATTTTTACAGACAGAATGTATATATTTGGCAAACTGGTCACCTAGACTGTTTCATCTCCCCAGTGTAGAGGAGACCACCTTGTGAACAACAAATAAAGTCAACAAGATTAAACGAAGCTATTGTCATTGACCTGTACTTAACATTCTTCATTTTCAAATCCCCTTAGGAGGGGATTTTCTTAAAAGTTAAAAATTTAAGATATAATCATGCACATTTGAATACAGCTTGTAAAATCAGTCAAGTCGCTTTGTTCACCTTCAAGATCTATCAGTAATGAGGTTGGTTGGCTCGCCAAGCTGGTTTCTTGTTTCGCAGATGTTTCGTTACCATGCTCCGATGAAGCTTCATCTGAGGCTGCACGGAGGATGATACCAAGCATGGTAAAGAAACGTCTGCAAAACAAGAAACCAGCTTGGCGAGCCAACCAATCTCAACAACCTCAACACCCACAACCCGAGCTACAAATCTACTCCAAAACCTTAGATCTATCAGTAAAGATTTGTAACAATTGCTAAAACAAACAGTCTCCTTCCTAAAAAGTATATCTGCAGTGGATAAGTCACAGTGTGGAGCTGGAGGAACACAGCAGGCAGCATCAGAGGAGCAGGAAAGTTGATGTTTCAGGTTGGGACCCTTCTCTTTCAGGGCAGAGGAGATTACCAGTGGGAGAGGGACCCACTGAGGTCTTTATAGAAGGAGGGGGATAACTTCAAGGTGGGCATCCTTGGAAGAGGTTTCGCAGTGGGGTTATAATTCACTCAGATAATAAGAACTGCAGATGCTGGAGTCAGAGTCTGCAGTAGATAACTTCATTTTAAAAGCAGCTTTCAATTATGAAAGGACTCCCTTTAACATTAAAACAATGCATTCACTTTCAAAGTAATGAGTGCAAGAGAGTGTTACTTTAAATTAAAATTGGATTTTTTTTTAAAAAAAAAAGAAATTTTTGACAAGTTTGTATTTGTAAAGAGCACGATTATCATCTGCTTAGTGTGAGGTCAATGTCCGACCAATAAACGGACTTTGAAACCCGCCCATGAAATCAGTCCACGGAGCAACTTCCAATAACAGAGCGCTGTTCCTCAGGTCAGTCATGATTCATCGTGGAAACACTGCCTTCAAATTCTGAGGAATTACAAATCACCATCCAACTCAAGACCAGGAAGTTAACTCCACGTAAACATTGGGTATTGCGAATCACGGATTTTTAAAAACCTAATAGTAGTCCCAGCTAATAATAAAGCGACTTGGTCAAGTATTGAGAGTTAAACGTGCGGGAAATCAGCGAGGAGACGCAAGGTGTCGATTAAATAGGGGCAGGCAGAGAGATTGAAAAATAAAACAAGCTTCGATTTCTCCTTGCAATTTCTCTCCACTGGATTAGTAAACAAAGGGAAGCGGTCAAATATGGGGGTGTTTAAAAGAAAACAAACGCTTAAACACATCAACTTGCTCAGTCGGAACTGATGGGGAAAAACATAGAAATTTCATCTGTTACAATCTGAACGAGAAACAAGCCAGACTCTAAGACATTACCGATTAAAAAGGTTACTGCAAGTTAGCAAGACTGGAAGCTACTGGATTTTAAATCTAAAGTTCATGGCAGTAACTGTGAAGAGACACTGTTCAGCACTATTATACACGTTTTTCCAGACGAGGAAAGGCAAACAATATAAGAGATATAACTCTAAATGTCTGTTTGCTCGTTTCCTTGACAGGAAAACGTGCAGAACCGAACTACGCTTGAGTCTAAGATACTTTTTGTGAGTAAAATATATTTTGAAATAAAAGAATTATGAATAAAGTATATTTTTGAAATACAATCTTTCCAAAATTGCCCGCTTTCCAAATATAACATTCTAAAGCCCTTCCCAGTCCCGTACTCAGGGTCGTGTTTACGATTTATTGATCCAGGTGTCCCCTGTTTAGCCCATGTTTGTGGGACTCACCCAGCGGTACTCCGCAAACCACAGCGGCGGCGGTGAGCGCCCCGGCCGATGCTCCATAGATCCTGCTGGCGTCCCGGGTCAGGTAAGGAGCGTGTTCTTGAATACTGCTCGCCGCCCCGATATGGTAAACACCCAGAAACCCGCAGCCAGCGAAAGAGATGTTCCAGCCGGCTTCCAGATCAAACATCTCGAGCGACAGAAACCCACTCCAGGGACAGAGGAAAGCTGCAAGAGGGAATCTCAAATGGATACTACAACCATAAGAGTTTACATTAACAGGAACTGAGCCAATCGTTTTGTTCCTTTTCCTCTGATCTGTTTCACACTGCAGGCACTGAGGAGACGCCGGAAGCCCACTTGAAGGCACTATGCCCGTGTGATAGTAACGCCAACACTGGCCAATCAACTGAATAGACTTTAGGGTGGGGACATAGGATTATTGGAGAGCTTTTCATTAGTCTCCAAATTCATTTTAATGGGACCTAGCTCATTACCCGACTGCGCCTTTCACGTCGATATTTTCACTGGTGAAATTTACAGATTGAAAGGTTCGAACGCAATATTTACCGAAATATCAACAGTTAGGAAGAAAAATGCTCAAGTATGTGGAAAAGTAAGTTGAGGGGAGCTTGCTGCCTACCGCAGTTGGTGGAATAGAAACACATTGGGGGCAATCTTGATCTTTGATAGTGAATGTGTCAATTCTCCAGGTTTTCACAGCTAATTAAGTCATTGAAAATATTGTAATTTACGGTTGAATTGTTATCGCCCATTTTGCATAATCAGCCAAATTATTAAGTTATTTGGACTCCCATTTCCAACTAAATAAAAACCGAATGAACTGCGGATGCTGTAAATCAGGAACAAAAACAAGGTTGCTGGAAAAGCCCAGCAGCATCTGTGAAGGAACAAACAGAGTTAACGTTTCGGGTCCGATGACCCATCCTCAGAACAGTTCTGAGGAAGGGTCACCGGACTCGAAACGTTAACTCTGATTTTTTCCTTCACAGATGCTGCCAGACCTGCTGAGCTTTTCGAGCAACTTTGTTTTTGCTCCCAATCCAACTGTCTCTTTTGTAGCACTGTGGAATCCATGGACCATGTATATATTGGGTGGGGGCTTGCACTCCTTTTTGAGTTATCTCAAAGACCTCCTTTTGTGTTTTTGGTTGCACTTTAGCCTCAGGCTCCTGATCTTTGGGCACCCGGTACGGAGGGGAGCGGGCAGGTCAGAGGATCTCCTGATGGGTCTGCTCCTGGGCCTGGCCAGGCTGGAATTAATGGGTCCAGGCAGTGGGCTGTGGAGGGGGTCATTATGGTCGACTGCCTGCCCCTCTTCCGTGGCTACGTCCGTGCCCGGGTGTCCCTGGAGAAGGAGCACGCTGTGGGCATGGGCGTTCTCGGTGCCTTTTGGGAGAGGTGGGCACCCGGAGTGTGGAGTACTTTACTTCCTCCACAAACTCTGTGTTTTGATTTGATCCTTTCCTTCCCGTCACTTTTTCTTTCACAAAGGCATCACCCCTACAGGGGCTCTGCTTGACACTGATGTTTTGGTCACACGGGTGACTTTCCTGGTGGTCGTATATTAATAAAGTTAATGGCATATCTGATTTTTTTTACTGTGTCCCCCACCTGCACACGCACAACAAGGGTGCTGGGGAAAATAAGCACTACTGCTTGGTGGCAGTGGTGTAGGTTTTTTTTTAAAAGTGAATATATATATAACCAGGAAATTTAGAATCTCTTCAGTTCAGGGGATGGCTCCAAGCTGTAGCGTACTGTGCACAAGTAAATAAAAGGGTGACTTGGTGATGGGATATCAGCCTCTGTGCAGTTATAAGAAGAAAAAATTACAAAGTTACTTTCATTGGGGAGAGAAGGAAGAGGAGATAAAGACAGAATTGAAGCAGCATTAACGAAGGAAGTGATACATAATCACAGCAGTGTTACCATGCAGGAGACCATTCACCCCATCCTGTCTGTGCTGACACTCCAAATGAGGTCAGAAGTCACACCACACCAGGTTATAGTCCAACAGGCTTATTTGAAATCACAAGCTTTCAAAGTGCTGCTCCTTCATCAGGTGAAGTGAAGAGAAGCAAACAGACACACAATTTACAGGCAGAGAGATCAAAAGATCATACAAATGGTGTGAGTGGAGTGTGGACAGGCTGAAAAACAAGTCTCTGCAGGTGATCAAATATGTCAGATGGTGTGAGTAAAGTGTCGACAGCTGAACAGCAAGTGGAGGAATGACCTATGATCCAAATAATTGAGGCAGAGAGATAATTACAAAAAATTAAAAATAAAATGGTGCTGGAAACAACCAAACGAGTAGAATAACATAATAAGTATGAGAGTCACATGTCAAGGGATAATGTATATAAACATGACTTTCAGAGATATTGAATGCTGGCATTTTGTGACCAAGGAGTCTTTGTATTTATCATTTGAAAAGAGTCCACATTACAGAAGAGGAGGTGCTCGAGGTCTTAAAACGCATAAAGGTAAATAAATCCCTAGGACCTGATCAAGTGTATCCCAGAATATTGTGGCAAGCTAGGGAAGAAATTGCACAGTGCCTGGCAGTGATGTTTGTATCATCCACAACCACAGGTGAAGTGCTGAAAGACTGGAAAATGACTAATGTGCCTTTATTTAAGAAAAGCTGCATGAAAAACCAAGGAACTATAGATCAGTGAGCCCGATATCAATGATGGGTAAGTTGTTGGAGGTGATTCCGAGATACAGGATCTACATGCATTTGGAGAGGCAAGGACTGATTAGAAATAGTTAGGTTGGCTTTGTGCATGGGAAATCATGTCTCACAAACTTAAATGAGTTTTTTGAAGATGTGACCAAGAGGAAAGATGAGGGCAGAACGGTAACAGTTTTCTATATGGACTTTAAAAAGGCATTTGACAAGGTTTCGCATTGGTTAGTAAGGTTAGATCACATGGGATCCAGGGAGAGCTAGTTAATTGGATACAAAATTGGCTTGACGGTAGGTGACAGAGGGTTGTTGTTTGGACTGGAAGCCTGTAACCAATGGTGTCCCGCAAGGATTGGTGCTGGGTCCACTGTCATTCATCATTTATATAAATGATTTTGATAAGAATATAGGAGGCATAAGTTTGCAGATGATATCAGAATTGGTGATATAGTGGACAGTGAAGAAGGTTATCTAAGAGCACTACAAGGATCTTAATTAGCTGGGCCAATTGGGCTAAGGAGTGGCAGATGGTGTTTAATTTAGATAAATGGAATGTATTGCATTTTAGTAAGACAAATCAGGGCAGGACTAACACAGTTAATGGTAGGGCCCTGGGGAGTGTTGTGGAACAGAGAGACCGAAGGGTTCAGTTACGCAGTTCCTTGAAAGTGCCATCACAGTTAGACAATGTTCGTGAAGAAGCCTTTGAGCGTGGTTGCCTTAATTTCTCAGAGCATTGAGTATTGGAGTTGGGACATCATGTTGTGGCTTTACAGGACATTGGTGAGGTTGCATACAGTTCTGGTTGCACTGATGTAGGAAGAATGGTATTAAACTGGAAAGGGTGCAGAAAGGATTTACAAAGACCTTATCAGGACCGGAGGGGCTTTGAATTATAAGGAGAGGCTGAATAGGCTGGGACTGTTTTCCCTGGAGTGTAGAAGATTGAGGGTTGACCTTTTATTGAGATTTATAAAATCATGACAGGCATAGATAAGGTGAATAGCCGAGCTCTTTTCCCTAGAGTAGGACAGTCCAAAACTAGAGGGCTCAGGTTTAAAGTGAGAAGGGAAAGACTTAAAAGGGACCTGAAGGGCAACTTTTTCACACAGAGGGTGTGTATGGAATGAGCTGCTAGAGGAAGTGGTAGAGGTGGTACAATTATAACTTTTAAAAGACAGTTGGACTGGTACATGAATAGGAAGGGTTGAGAGGATATGGGCCAAACATACACAAATGGGACAAGTTCATTTTTGGAAACTTGGTCAGCATGGACAAGTTGGACCAAAGTGTTTCTGTGCTGTATGGTTCTATGACACTATTGTTTCAGGTTAATAAAAATATTTTTACGGTGAAAAAGAAATAATTGAATAAAATAATTAAGTTATTAAAACACATTAATGATGTGGCATGAAATTAATGTACCATGAATGCAGCATGTGCTTACTCCTGGATACCTGTGTGATCAGGCCAAACACCTCATATGTCCTAAGTGTTAGGCTTTGGTTCTTAGTTTATGACCTGGAGGCCAAGCTGCAGACACTGCAACACATTAGCGTGGGGAACGTTACATGGATTTTTTGTAACAGGAGGAAGTTGTTTCCCTTAGGATTGAGGCTTCTGATTTAGTTAGCAATCAAGGAAAAGTGAGTATGATTGCATGAGGCAGTTAAGGGGAACCAGAGGGCAGAAATGTGGGAACCTCAGCCTTTATAATTGTCCACCAGGTTTGCAGTTATTTCAGTTTGTCTGGAGGCTGCAGGGTGGTTGAGTTAACTGACCGTAGCACCAGTGCACAGGACACCATTCAAGTGGGAAGCAAAAGGAAAGCGAATGCTAATTGGACACTATTTAGTGAGGAGAAATGACACTGTTCTCTGTAGCTGAGAGTGGGAGTCCAGAAGTCTGTGTTATCTGCCTGTTGCCAGGGTTTGAGACATCGCCTCAGGACTGGGGAAGAACCTGCTTTTGGTGGCTGAGGTTGCAAGGAGGTGGGTTGTGGCGGGGGGGAGGGAATTCAGTCCTCATGGATGATGTATATACCAATTTGCAGATGTGAGGATGCTATCAGTACACAATAAACATGCAGAAGTCGCAACTTGCAGGTAGGATGTGGAAGTAGTCATTTGCAAGATTGTAGTTCTCAAGTGTAATGAGAAAGCAGTTAGAAGAGGAGTGCGGTGCTTTCCAATTGCTCCCAGGTAAAAATAGAACATTAATTGTGAGGTCAGAATCAGCAAGGGAGTGTGTGATTAGTAGAAGGAGAGTTACACAATGTCCCATTATGATTGGTGGAAGGACAAAACGTTAAGTGTTTTTAGTGCCCTTGAAAGTGGACATCAGTGTAGTGAATTTGAAATGCAAAGAAATAGAGATAGGAAGAAAATATTTTCATCACCTTTGCTGTCCAGGTTAAGTTTCTGAAATGCTGTGGTGCTGATCCAATGTGGAGATTATGCTGTGTCTGACTTGGCCTGCTGTAGTGTCTCGTTCAGCACTTTTCTATTATCAAAAGGAACATACCAATACTGTATGTCTTCATCACTCACTGTGTGGAATACAGGCGAGGGTTAATCTCAAAATGAATTTTATGAGAGAGCAAAACTTGAAGATTACCTAGTTTGAAAGGAGTGGAGGAATGCACAATGGTCCTCAGAACGTTGTGGCAAAGAAATCAACAAGCAGATTAGCTT